ACTCTCAGACTGAAGAAGTCTCTTGGAGGAGAGACGAAACTTTTCATTAGAGAAGAACCCGTCCAGAAGACCTACACAATTTTTTTCTTTTTGATCAGTTAGATTCCACTGTGCAAAATGCCTGTTTTATCTTCTTTCATGAGTTTTTGGCCATTTGACTATCTTTATGAATCGCTGCTTCCTGGTACAACAGTCAAGAAGGTTTTTTTAAGCGAGTGGTTGAAGCAAAATGCAGGATCTGAGCGTTTTCAGCACAAACACTCCCACGAACTTCTGACCAATCACATAATAAAGTTCTTGTGCGTTCTTATGTGGAGTGGTGTAGCCTAGTTTCTCTTCAATCTGAGTCTGATCCAGTTGGAACATTCCTCACAGAGTTCCATAGGTTTCTCTTGGTTTCAACTCTGTCAAAGTCAGAACCAAGAGAAAGCAGAAGAATTTTCTGAGGATTGTTCCGCTGACAGTCTGACTTTGACAGAGTCAGAAGTTTCCTTAGAATATTACTCAGTTATCTCTTGGTTCCAACTCTAAGAGTTAGAATGTGCCTTCAATTTGTTCTGTTTGACCCATCTATGTTCTACAAGTAGAACTCTTCTTTACAAGAAACCATGTTTGATGATAATGAAGTAGCTGACATCAATTCCTGTTATCTAAAGAGGAACAGGAAACAGCTTTTCTGCACAGGGCGTTGCAGTGTTTAGACTCACTGGAAATAAAATGTTGAGATCTTAACCGTAACCCCCCTACCACTGCTCTCTTTTAATGCCAGCCTCTTTAGCAATGACGTCTTGTGTCTTGCCCTCCTTGTGCAAGGTGTCRATGGTCGTCTTTTGGACAACTGTCAAGTCAATAAATGTATATAATATAAATAACAACAATGGTTATTAAATGTATAAAAAGATAAATTAAATTTCTTAAACGTAATTTATTAAACGATCAAATACAAAGAATAAATAATTACATGAGCTGAAACCATTTAAATAATATAATATTTTTGAATAAAACAAGTCTTTTAAAAAAAGAAATCAGTCTAACAAATAAAACATTTGTATGT